TGAATTCCCCGTTCAATTTGTAACAAACGATCTCACTTGAATTGTTTATTGTTTTCCTTCGATGCGCCATTTTTGAGTAAAAAAATAAAAACCGTTCTATTGTCTAACTTGCAAAATTATTATTAATTTAATTGGAATAATTAAACTCAATGAACAACAACAACTGGCAACATTAACATGACATTAAAACCAACGAAATAATTACAAAAATTGTTGAAAATGGCCTCCTCCACCTAGTTTGCATGCTTCCGTCCTCCTTCTCATGGAATGGCGCACTCGTTGAAATATCCCTGGAATGTTTTTCATTCCAGCACAATCTGCAACTATTCTTTCTCTTAATCCCTCTACAGTGTTAATGCGACTTGTGTACACTGATAGCCCCACAAAAAGAAATCTAAACCGTTGAGGTCTGGGGACCTTGGTGGCCATTCTTGAGGTCCACCACGGCGATTTGGATAAACAGTTTGTAAATAATTACCAACCGCTACACTCAAATGCGCTGGTGCGCCATCATGCATGTACCACATATTGTTTCTTATTACTAACGGAACATCATCAAGCAGCAAAGGCAACTGTTGTTGAAGAAAATGAAAATTAGCTTCGTCCGTGAACAGAATCATTGATTCAAATTGCGGATTTTGTGTAAGTTTTTGAAGATACCACTGACAAAAGGTCACACGCCTTGGAAAATCAATGGGAAGTAATGCCTGTACTGTTAAAATATGGTAAGGATATGACAAAAAATCCACTAAAATTCTCCAAATAATTTGATGGCAAATATTTAAGGTCTAGCGATCTTCCTCGTAATCGTTTCAGGATGTTCTTCGACTTCGTGCAGCACTGCTTCCTCAATTTCAGGTGTTCTCACACTTAGAGGTCTACCGCCAGATGTTCCTTATCGGACAGAACCAGTTTCAACAAGACGACGATGAATATTACAAAAGGTTCGACTATCTAGCAAAGCACGATCGGGATATCACAGGTGATAAATCCGTCTGGCTTGCTCACCATTACCTTCGGCAAGGCCATATACGTAATGCATTTCCGCCATTTCTCCAAATAATTCACCATTATTAACAAGATTGTAAGAACTAAATAATGAAGAGACTTGTCAGATCAAAAGCCAGCGACATATTCCAGAGCAACTAGATATTTACTGCTAAATTGCATTCTTCAATTATTACATTAATTTTCTCGGACAAGAACGGCTTTATTTTTTTACTCAAAAATGGCGAATCGAAGGAGAATAATTCAAGAGAGATCATTTGTTTCAAATTGAACGGGGAATTCAAAAATAATATTTATTTGGCAAAAAACCATTGGCGTACCATATTTTTCTAAAAAAATATCGAAGTCAATCCGTAAGCACGCCACTGCTAAAAAAATTATTTTTGCATTGCAACATTATTAGCTCTCACTACGTAGTAAATATCAGTGCAATATCTGAAGAGGTTCTGAAAATATTAATTAACGTCCATTTTTTTCCTAAAACTTCAACACCTCGAGTTTTTGTGAGGAAACATTTTTGGACCATAGTTTATAAAGCAAACTAACATTAATTTTTCATGTAGATTCACACCCTTAAATATTCGCATATCATTAAGTAACACCCTGTATAAAGTTATCTATATTTGCATTTTGTTTATTTTGAGTAATACTGGTTACGACAAACATACGTACCGTTATCTACCCCAATCGGTCATTTGACGGGCTATGGTAGAAATAGGTGTGAATTAAGTGTTGGTGCATTTAGTGTTAAAAAGATGGTGGAAAATTACTAAGATACATGGTCTTGCTAATTTTGTCATCACTGACTCAGGACAAGATGAAGACTGTTCAAAAGCACTGTTGCAATATCAAACTTCATTTTTTATGCGTATTCAAAGACGAGATTCAATATTTTAATAATGCCAAAATTTTTCTTTGAAATTACGCACAAAATGTTTGGTAATTAGTTTGAGAGATATGAGATATTTATATTACCTGTGACATGAGCAATTCACACCTGTCACAATATATTATCACAAGCAAGCAAACGAAATGCTTTGCTCGCTGTTACTGATACGTTCTCTTTTAACGTTCGTGCAAGAAGGTGTAACACAACAACATCAATTATCTACAAAATTATATGTCTACAGACGCTCCTAACTATTTTGCCCTATACTTCTGTTTCCTCATAATTGATAAGATCTACAGTTTTATACCATCAGTTCAAGTCAGTTCTATGGTATCCAAAATAACTGTATGTGTAGATAATCCTCAGCAACACCTGCTGATTGATAATAGTGCAATGAGGAGCAGTGATACGGCTGGTTGTGAAATATCTGTCAAAAATTGATAAAGTCTGCTCTCACAACAATTTAATTTATTCTAAATCTACATGAAAAAATTGGGCCAAGTAAGTTGACTCTGTGCGTCATACGCGACGCTGTCATTAGTTCGGATTATGTTCAGCACAAGTTAGTTTTTCTTAGATAAAAAGTTAGGTGTGAACATGTATAACAAAAAATGAAATGACTCTCCTCCTCTCCCTGAAACAAATTCCTGTAGTCGTTGATATAACTTATTTCCCGTGGATGATGATATTGACTTTTACAGCATGTAGCACACGGTGCACGACGCTTCGACTATCAGCCGGACCACGGCGCGAGTATCGACACGCGACAGTTGGAGAAATTTCTAAGTTTTAAGGGTAAATGTGTGGGGACATCTATGATGAGCGAAATATGTCCAATAGGTGCGTAAAATTAACTGGAGTTGGAAGTGTATGAGTATACCAACAACAAAAATTCAGATATACCCCCCATCCCCTGCAACCCCTAATCACCAATTTTTAGCCCCAAGAATTTTTTTTTCGAAAATGATCAGGAGTCAAAGAACGGAGTTTGAGCGGTTTTTTTTTATTTTTGGCCTTTTTTCCACCGCCACAAGCTACAAAGCTTTTTCGTCCTTAGTGGTAAACTTCTATGAAAATTTTATCTAAATCCGAGCAGTGCTTCCCAAGTTTCCAAGGATTAGCGGACAGACAGAGAACATGCTTTCTGTGATGTACGTGTCATATAACATCCGAAAAACATAAATTCTCATTTTCGAAGCGATTTACAATACTTCGTTGCCAGTAGGCGTGGGAAGTACATAACGGGTGATTTTTTAAGAGGTATAGGATTTGCTTTTCAAAAAAAACACAAAAAATTTGAAAAAACGATTAAATCTTTATTTAAGCCGATAGAAGGGTCGATATAATTTAATGTTTAAAGATTATTTCATGTAAATGTTGGCCGCGGCTCCGCTTTAGATGGCCCATGCGCAAGGTCCAATTTTGGCACACTCTCTCCAACATATCGGCCGGTATCTCACGAATAAATGCTTCAATATTGGCTTCCAGTGCGTCAATCGTTGCTGGTTTATCCCTGTAGACATTAGCCTTAACATGGCCCCACAAGAAATAGTCCAACGGCGTTAAATCACACGATCTAGGCGGCCAATGGACGGGCCCCAAACGTGAGATAAACTGTTCACCGAACTCGCCTCTCAATAGGGCCATTGTTTCGTGTGCGGTGTGGCATGTGGCACCGTCTTGTAGAAACCACATGTCAGCCAAGTCCAGCTCTTCCATGTTGGGCAAAAAAAAGTTTGTTATCATCGCACGGTAGCGCTCGTCATTCTCAGTTACGTTCCGGCCATTGTCGTCTTTGAAGAAGTACGGCCCGATGATGCCACCGGCCCATAATCCACACCAAACAGTGATTTTTTCGGGATGCATTAGTAGCTCTTGCAATGCTTCTGGCTGGTCTTCACTCCAGATGCGGCAATTTTGCTTGTTGTTCAACCAGAAATGAGCTTCGTCGCTGAACACAATTTTTCGATAAAAATGTGGATCTTCCTCCAACTTTGCCAGCGCCCATTCACCAAATTGGAAACGTTGTAGGAGGTCGTGTGGCTTCAATTCTTGCACCAGCTGTATATTATAAGGTTTTACACCCAAATCCTGTAGCAAAATTTTCCACGTAGTGGAGTAACAGAGGCCCAATTGCTGCGAACGGCGGCACACTGGCGGATACAGCCGCAATATTATCTTCAGTCCTCACTCTACGTCTGCGTGTTGGTGGTTTAATGTCCAATAATGTAAACTGGGTTCGAAATTTAGTCACAAGCTTCCGAATAGCTCCCTCAGTAGGCCGACCAAATTGCCCATAAATTGGAAGCAGTGCTCAATGCACTCTCTTAACCGAGCATGAACGTTGATAGTAAAAATCAATAATTTGCAAGCGTTGTTCGTTCGTAAGTCGATTCATGGTTAAATTATAGACCAAACTGAATAAGTTTGACATTGACACAAGACACGATTCACGCGTCATCTGTCAAAAACAGTGTTGCCAAAAAGATAATAGCAAAAAAGTCACCCATTAGAAGCATTAAAGTTGAAACTTTACAAAAATTGTAGCAATAACGTGACGTCTGTCCTTCTATAAATATTCCAGACGTCTCCTAAAGTTTTTCATTGTGTGAAAGATTTGCTGCTCTATGCCTTATATCTCTTGACTGTCAGAACCATCTTCCTTAGGTAATTTTCTAAAAACTAACATATTATCGAACTACAGTTCAAATGCCTTTCCATATAGACTTTGATGGGATACATTAATTTAAGTTGGTCAGATATTTTAAAATCGTCTGTTTCACGGCCTCACTATGGAGTTTTCTACTCTTAGTTAATAGTATGGGTAGGTCACGTTTAATAATAGTTTATAAACAGTCATGCGGATATATTTAGAGACATTATTATTAGAGCATTCTTAGAAATGCGGATTATCCAGCGACGAATTATTTATCCTGTTTGTTTGGTATGCATTAATATTACGGCGTGTTCTGAATTTCCACTAAATAATTGGTTCCTTTGGATGTTCAGACATTTTGTAGTTTCAGTGCCATACACGCGATATTACACGTGAGTTTGGAAAATAGAGGTATGGCCATTAACGGAAAGTAGTAGTCCTTTTAATTTATATGATTATTTTGGAAGAAGAGTGTTACATCTCAAAATTTTTCATTTTCCGTTTTATTGCGTTAATAATTCAGAAAATGCGTTTACATTTATGTGAAAAATGGCAACATCTATAGTTGTAGTCGTTTGCCGAGAGATGGCAGATGTAACCATATTAAACATAAATGTAACCATATTCCACATAAATGTAAATACATTTTCTCAATTATTAACTCAATAAAACGGAAAATGAAAAATTTTGAGATGTAATCCTCTTCTTCCAAATGAATAGGTCCATCGAAAAATAATCGGAATGAGGGCCTGTTGTAACTGTTAACAGTGAAATATTATCAGCCTTCACTTTAGCAATTATCCTTCCTAGTCTAGACTAGTGGAATTATTTCAAAGCTTCCAGCAGGTAGAATATGTTTACAAAATACTAACAAAACTAAACTGAGCAATCGGTAAATTATTAACCGAGATGAAATATAAAAATAGGAAAATTTATTATTTCATAAAACATGAATTACATATCTGTTATTCAGTAAGTTACAACGCAGGACTGTTGATTTTGGAATACGATTCCAAAAGTAGATTCAGTTGTTACTATTGTTTGCGTTTGTGTTGTGCTGTATAACAAAGATAGTTTCGTTTGTTCTCATATACAGGGAAAACCATTTGTCTGAAGGCTTGAGTCCAATTGAACGAGAGATAAGCGCGAGAAGTGTGTATCAACACATGTTACAAAGAGATAGAAGCCGGCTGAAGGTGACGCAGGAGGTCGTGCAATCTGCCGCGTTGCCAACATGTTACACCAGAAAATGTTCGCACAGGCTTCTACAATAGGTTAGGTTACTACTGTCAAACCCAAGAAGGAAGTCTGTTCGAACATTTGATTTAATATTTTGTTTTCATTTTGATTAGAATTATTTATTTCAAATTTGATGCGACTTAGTGTTTTAACTTATTTTAGAATTACCTTTGATTTCCACGGATGGTGATAAACTCAACAGACATCCTGAGTTATTGTTATATTTTCCAACCGCTCGCTTTCGCAAAATGTAACACTCTCCAGTGAGGGGTAGGTGGGTACTGACCAAAATCAATCATCTATGAACATGGAGGTGGAATCCTTGCCTTGGAATGTATGAGATGCGGTGTTGTCAAGCGAATCAATCATGCAATGTTGCAAAATTTGTGGCGAGCCCGACCTTTCATTTCAACCTAAAATGGAGCGTTGTTAGGATCGATCCGGAATCGATCCTAAACAGATTCGACACAATTCACAGTTCGAAAATGTATACGCTCAGAATAAAACCGGGCGTAAAGAATAAACTTACGCATATTTTCAACATGCAATTCAAGGAACTGGTGTAATATATTGGCAGCCGCGTCAGCGATGCTAGGCAACGCGGTGCTGAGCTTCGTTATCCAGGCGGCTTCTATCTCTTTCTGACATATAGGTCCATACACACAGATTGTTTCAGCTCCTCTAAAATGTACAAGGTGGAGAATATACTTTACCAGTTAGCCCCATAAAATTCTATCTAATAATAGTACACATATATAAATCTAGTCCGTATATAATAATAGTACACAATAAATTGTGAGCTACTGTAAATGCCACGAAAAGATAAACAACACGATATTACCTCACAGTTTCTGATATATTCGTAATTTGTTTTAATTGATACACATATCTCTTTCAGTAGCTTTAGGAGAGACGTGGCTATAAAAAAATGACGTCAAGTAGGTTAACTCTACACTTTCCACGCAACGCCGCCTTCACTTCATAAAGGTGTATGTTCAGCGCAATTCAAATCATCTGATAAAAAGTCAGTTACGAACATGTATAACAGAGAAATTAAACGGATCAAGTCAGTCAACTAGGCTCACACATATAGACCATAGACATTGTTTCTCTGCCTGAACGGTAGTTACTGTCCATTTAGCAACGAAAGCCCTTTTCACATCTGCGCGGCAGCGCCCAGCGCGGCATCACTGCAGCAAGTTATCGTTCATTTCGTGCATATGTTTTGTGTGTATGTGTTTTATGCGCTTCAGTATGGATAGATTAGTAAGCTGGACCGGTACACCGAGCGGTGAGCTTGGATAACAAGAGTACGCGAATAGAAAACATTTCTCTATAATTCTAAGTTTCAAAGGCAAAAGAACGACGAAATCCATGATGCTTGAATATGGCTAATAGGTGCATATTATTATACGGGTTGGGAACTTATAAATATACTAGCATGAAAAAAAATTATTTCTCCACCTACAACCACTAAATTTCAGCCAACGATGATCAGGGAGCCTCTGAATCGCTGAAAAAGGTTGAGCAATTTTTATTCTTTCCTGTTTTTGCCCATAGCTTCGCCGCCACTGGACCGATTTTAAAAAATCACAAAGCCTTTTCGTCCTTGGTACAGTAGAGACCTTGTTTTCGAAATTACAATGCTCCCTAGTGCTCTAGGAGGTAAAACGCTTCAACACTGAAATATACGAATCCACATCTGTAGACTTTAAATCTATCACTTATAGTACATCATCTTTACTCGATTTATAGTTTATTTTAAATAGACTGCTGAAATCGAATCCGAGGGTCCCCTTTCAATTCCAGCTCAACAGAAATAGAAATAGAATTAAGATGAAGAACTAAATATTTGGTGTACTCTTAAACTGTGGTTGGTTGAAAATAACCAGAGTTAATTAGGAAGTATCCCGAATGTAAATGTGTTTGTGTGATTTAAAACGGCAATTCGCATACACTTAGAGACTATTGAGAAGGGAGCCAAAATAAATATACTGTGTGCGTGTACGTAATTAATTTTGCTTCCCGCGCTCATAGCCGGGAAAATTCTATATGTCGAAGATCGGTAAATAATAATAATAATTTATTAATGTTAATACACAGAAAGTGTTTACACAAGTCACTATATACTCATAGAACGCTTAGAAAAATCTACATCAAACATGAATAAAACAAGTTAAAAACAATGCAATCCTGCGTAACGCATAATTACCAAAAGCAAATTGAAAAAAAAACAATACAAAAATGTCGTCATGAGATAAAAAAAGATCGCTTAGAAAAATATATGTATAATACGAGTATAATTAACTATACACATAGAGACAAACAAAACAATAACAGCTGTACATAAGTTGAAGAGAGAAATCAATAAATAAACATTTAAGGTATATCAGTAAAGTCATTTGCCAAATATTCGTCCGTGCTAAAGAATGCGTTTTTTATTAAATAATACTTTAGTTTCCTATGAAAAACATCAATATCCAATGTTTTTATATTGTTGGGCAGCAGATTAAAAAATTTAATGCCATAAAAGTTTGTTCCAACTCTTGATTTTTCTAGACGGTAGTTATTATGACAAATGTTGTTTCTATTTCGTGTTTCATATTTGTGGTTATCACTATGAGTGGGAAAGGTACTAATGTTACTTTTGATATATAGGAGACAACTCAAAATATACGCGCATGGAAGGGTTAGTATGGCCAATTTAATGAATTCAGCCTTGCAGCGGTCTCTATATTTCAAACCAGAGATGTATCGTATACAACGCCTTTGCATGCCAAACACTTTTTGCATATGTGGAGAGTGTCCCCAGACCAAAATTGCATATGTCATTTTAGAGTGGAAATATGCATGATAAGCAGTTAATAAAACTTTATCAGATACTCTATCCTTTAGACTACGTATGAGATATATAACTCTGGACAAACGATCCACCACACAGCGAGTATGTACCTCCCATGTCAGAGTACAGTCAATATGAACGCCTAGCAATTTCACTGTTTGAGCAGATTCCAACTCATGACTGCGTAAGCTTAGTATTATAGACTGAGTTTTATCAGTGTTGAGCAATAGCATATTGGCAGCAAACCAATCCTCAAGGTTCGACTTACACAATGAACTAGTTTCGACAAGGGTGTTTACATGTTTATTAGAATTTACCAAAGTAGAGTCATCAGCATATAAGAACAAAGCAGCATTGTGCGTATCTGACAGGCTATTGGGGATATCATTAATGTATAATAAAAACAGCAGTGGTCCCAGTACGGAACCCTGAGGAACTCCATGTATCACCGATCTGGTATCAGAGTTACAGCCATTGAAATGTACTAGTTGTTCTCTGTTGGATCAGTAAGAGTCTAAAATCTTGATGCTAGAAGGATGAATGTGATAATAAGGTAACTAAAATACTATGCTGCAGACAGTCAAAAGCCTTAGATAAATCGAAAAGGTCCGCCTTGGTATGTAGATGGTTCTGAAATCCTTCGTTAACAAGATCTATAAGACAATTGATTGCTGTAGTAGTAGATCTGTTCCGTCTAAATCCAAACTGCTTGTCATTAAATAATTGACTTGACTCTAGATGAGAGGTTAGTTGATCCTTTAGCAGAATTTCAAAAATCTTAGCAAAGTATGAGATTAGAGAAATTGGTCGATGGTTGGAAAGCACATCACCCGATCCATTTTTAAGTATTGGAAAATAGGAGTCTAAAGAAGATACCTTAATACTCTATAATACGTTTTACGTATACAGGTTGTTTGTTGAACATGAGACAAGAAATTAGCCTACATTGAAATTATTTGTCTTTTAACGATAATATAATCGAAAAACAGCTTCGTTTAAGTTGCAGGGTGTAAAAGAGTTTCAAAAATGATGTCTTTGTTTGCAAAATTCGTATATGTTTCTAAATCTACAAGACATGTTCAGAATGACTACCACCAGCTAGAATGCAAAACTTTCTCTTTATAGACTGGCCTTATAAAATACGAGAGATGTCTTTTAAGTTTTGCATATAGAAACATAGTAGGCCGCGCGGATCGAACGTCAGTACTGAATCTTAACCTCGCTCTTTAGTAAACTTAATTTCAAAGTTTCACAACAATACGTGCAGTGTTCTCACTACAGTGAATTTTTAAGTATCGCCAAGTCATTAGAAAAATGGATCTCAACCGAGAACATTTTCGCGCCATAATTTATTACAACTTTCAGAGACAATTATTGCATTATTGCTGAGTTACTGTCTGTTCTCAGCAACGAAGATCCACACCAGTCGACAATTTCCCGTTGGTATGGAGAATTCAAACGTGGACGGGTGAGTCTTAGCGACGATCCCAGGGTGGGTGCACCAAAAACGGCAGTCACCCAGGAAAACGTCGATGCTGTGCGCAAACTCATGATTGAAGATAGACAAGTGACATATCTCGAGATTGAGGCGTCCTTGAAGATCTCAAAGACCTCAAT